TGCTCTCCTACTAGTGCTTTCCGCGGACACCCGTGCGGCAATGAACCTAGCGCGACGTCAACGCCTCATCACAAATTTATTTATGGCCGCTTCTCAAGATGATTTATTAAAAAGCCTTTCGTAGACTTCAACACACATGGAATCCACGGTGCATTTGATTGCATTAACCCCGCCTCCCCCCCAAAAAAGGTAACAAGCGCAAACAGTTTGTATGCAGGGAGGGGGGGGGCGCGCAAATGGCGGACAAAACTAGAGACCTCGATGAGCAAATTGTGGCTTTGTGCAAGGCAAGCGGAGCTGAATTCAAATTCTAGCTTAATGGGTGACGAATTTTATCATGAGGGAGATGCCAAGTCCCACCAAATCAAAACCGCTTTTTTTTTTTCATTAGATAATCCTTCACGTTGTGAGGGTGTCATGTCATCAACGGTTACAAAAAAAAAAAAAAAAGAAAAACCTCATTTCCACGAACAAAGAGCAGCTGACAAATTTCCCACGAAAGCTTTGAGCATTTCAAGCGCACCTCTTTTTCACTCCGCTTTAACGACACGGGGACATTTCAAGTTAAAGGCGGGAAGTGGCTCCATAACAGTGGATGCGACGCTGCTCACAGGCGGCCGTCTTTCTGTTAAAAGCGAGAGAGGGGAAGAAAAAAAAAAAAAAAAAAAAACACATGTGCCTTTTTAATAAGATCATTAATCACACGGCGCTCTCTGCCAGGGATTTTACACATTCAGATGCCAAACACGCTGCATCGGGGGCAGATTGCTGTCTTTCTACCAGCAGGCCAAACAAAAAAAAGAAAAAAAAAATCAGATCCGTGCTATTATCTTCTCCTGTTTTCGTTTTTAAAGAAATGACATGACATGTATGGTATTGTATTGACCGCGACATTAATAAAGTTTCTAAAAGGGACGCGATCAGTTTGTTTGGTGCAGTCGGCAAATCATCGAAAGGCGTCGAAGCAACTGCACGGCGATTTACAACGTAGATATCTTTTTGCATCTCACATACCCTCGACATGAAAAGTTAGCATTGCTGTTAACAGATGAATTATTATTATTATTATTATTATTATTATTATTATTATGGCGACTCAGGTCAATTAGTGGAGCCCAGAAGTCAAAGCAAACAGGGTGAAGCCACACTTGACTGTTATGCTGCATACCAACGGACTAAACTGCAAACAGAAGTGAAGTCAGCCCACAAGTATAAATGCTTCTAAATCCAAAATTATGCTTTTTTTTCCCTCCTCATGCCTTTGATGAAAGGATTATAAAGTATTTTTAAATCACTTTCCCTGTACCGTCTTTTAGTTCTTATCAAAAGCTCCGTTTTCCTTTCATACTTTATTTTTTAATGCCTTAAACGGCTAAGGTGTTTGAATATGGTCAATCTTGGTTCGTTTCGTAATTTTGATGAGCTATATTGGTCTTCTCTGCTTTGCTTTCGATTGTCTTCGGTTGTTTTGTTGGTGAAAAACTTCTAGTTGTTGTGTGTTTGGGTGTGTGAAGCACATTGAGTTGCCTCATGCCTGAAAAGTGCCACACGCGGTAAATAAGGCTGCCTTACCTTGCCTATTGAATCAGAATTGCTACTCCAATGTTATTGGTACAGTACTCATACTTATAAAAATGCGCTGACACTACACATTGATGCCACCTGTATTGATTTTCAGTGTAACTCTTTAATGAACAAATAGTTTGTATACTGTATCATTGAATTGTGTGACCTTTCGCTGATTTTTTTTTTTTTTTTTTTGAGACAGCTCCTGTATTGAATCTCATTAGATTGTTCCGGTAGATACTTTATTGATCCTGTTGCAAATTGTGCGTGTTGTGTCAGACAGACATCGCGTGTTATCTTTCGTTGAGCGCCATCAGGACGGCAAAAGCAACACGCTGTGGCGTTTCAACTGATGTCGCTCGTGTTCATGTCTCTTGTGAAGTCACCGTCTACTTTTTAATCGAAGGGACACGTTTTTTTTTGTTTTTTTTTCCTCAGCGCAGACGGTCGCCGCGCCGCATCCATTGCAGTTGCGACACCAAGCCGATAGACCCCGAGCGCCACAACGCGAAAACATTCATCATCATCATCATCTGGCGGCGGAGCAAAGACTAAACAAAGCAAAAGACGACCAAGCCGCTGCTGGCGTCGTTCCAGGAGCGAACCTACACGTCTCATTTGGAGAGCGCATGAAGTTGTGATCAAAAGCACCTTGGGCTGCGACTCCCGAGGAAGAGAGGAGGAAGAGCTTGGGGAGTTCTTATACAATGCAGAGGTTTGGGGGGGGGGGGTCATGTAGAACAATCCTACACAGTCGATATCTTGTTGCAAAGGTGCAAAAGTTCACCTTGTGAAGACGGGATGTGCACCTAAGACGATGGGGAGGGGAGGATGGGGCGCCACAATTTTAACTATGAACAACACACGGTTTCAGATCAAAAGACGACGATGAGAAGAAAAAAAAAATGGAGCTTTGATTTGATGCTATTTACATCAACGTGCGTTCATCGAATCAAGACAGAGCACCTTTTGTTTGAAGCCGGCTACTTTTCAAGTGAGCAAAAGTATTGGAACGGCCGACGGTTAAACTGACGACGTGAATGCGATTGAATATTTGGTGGCGCTAACCCTTACTTGCAAAAACTGCATCGAGCCTGTGACCAATTGACGTCAGCAGACTGTTGCATTTGAAATGCTTTTCCAAACCTTTACTGCAGCCTCTCTCAGTTCTAGTTTGTTTCTGTTAAATGTGGTCTGCCCTCTAGTGGTGAATCCTGTTATTACAACTTAAAATTATACTTCAGGCAACATGTTTATAATTTCCCTCAAAGAAACTCTGAGAACAGCTTTTTTGAAAAACGTTTTTTTTTTTTTTTTTTAAATCAAGGGTCACTGACAAACCCTTGACACTGTCGAGCGACATACGTGCAAAAAACCCCAGGACAGATCAGGTGGGTTGGACGACGTCCTCGGCGACTCCTCGCTAACAAACACCATACTTCACATCCATATTAGATGTTATTACACCCCTATTGTGCCGCAATCACGCCGGTGGGTGATTTCCCCCCTTTCAGTCAGCTCCTCCTCAAGCGCGTCGCCACGGCGCTATCTTAACAAAGCAATTTCATTGCGCCGTCTCATATTTGTCTGCTTTATTATACAAATCCCGTTATCGTTGTCATATTATAGGAATGGAACAAGCTAAGTTTAGGTGCAGTGCTGCAATCTTGCATACTCAAGGAGAGGTTGCCATGGAAACAGAGTCGCATTGGCCAGAAATGAAAGCAATCCGAGGATTTAGACTTTTCACTGTACATCAATTTTTTAACTCGGGATGGTTTCTCCGTCGGCCCGCTTTTCCTCCGCCGCCGCCGTCAAGACTCGTTCGGCCGCACGAAAGCATCGAGGAGGTAAACAAGCGAGCGTAACGGGCCCTAAAATAAGCACGTCGAGTACAAGCTGTGACTGCGAGGCCCGTATCGGTCTGTGCCAAGTCCTCTGACACTGTCAATCTGTAGGGCGACATCTGCGACCGTCCAAATGTGCGTTCAAATCATCGGCTTCGCCCATGTCACTCATTCTGGCAAATGTAGAACATCTGACAAAATCAGCACGACATTCACTGCGGTGCCTTGAGAGTGCCCCAACGACAAAAAAAAAAATTGCACCATCAATTTGACTTTTTTGGACTTGCGAGCCCTGTATGGTGGTCAAATGAACTCACTTGAAATAAGGAGCAGTTTGGCAGATCGCTACACACACAAAAAAAAAAAAAAAAATGGAAAATACAGTTCAGGTGGAGCGGGAATCCATTGTGTATCGTTCTCTAAAAATAAAACGATGGAAGCAGGAGGTGGACCGCGAGTCATCTGTCCCACACACGGGCAGACATGTTGGCAGTGAGCCCGACTTCAGCCAACCCGTGACAGTTCCCGTTCCAGCGAGTCAGTCTTCAGGCCCAAATTTTCCCACCGTGCCACACGTGCGCACGTAGAAGGTGCAAATAAAGGAGGTCTCGCACCGCCTCGAGTGCTAATGAAAGTGCATTAACTTACTACGAACACATTCCATTAGGAGCTGAAAGGCTAATTTCCATTTTAGAAAGTCGGCTGCCACCGATCTCGCCGTATGCCGGTTGCTTTGGCGGAATTCCCTCACACTTTACCGACTGTGTCAAACACGCAGTGAGTTGAAAGGAACCGTACTTGAGGCACTACTCGTCATGCAAAACGGAAATCCCCAATTCCAAAGAGGCTACAAAAGGCAATTCATTATCCCCCCCTGTGAGAATAGCCACCATGGAGTATCTCGCTGGATGAGCAGAAGAAGCGCAGAACAGACAAATTGCCCAAAGTGTTTGAAAGCAGAGCTCATAATTGTACACTCCGGGTGGGAATCGCATTTTACAATCTTTGTATGACCAACATTGGCCCACTCTGATTTGGACCCAGCGCTGGCTTGGCTCTTTCACCCATTTTAGGTTACTTTTAACCCAGGAGAGTGCAGCTCGCACGTACACAATCATGAACCCATGTTACATAAACGTCGGTATTAAACTTTCCAAACATTTTCTCATCGTGCTGAGACTCATAACTGTACAAATGCCTGTCTATCTATACTGTGCCTCGGGAGACGCGATATATTGCGATATTGATATTTCCTTCCCGAGTGTACATCGACACCGAGCTCCATTTCATCATCACCCAGTAGTGTTAAAATACATAGGTTGCGAATTACGTGACATGAAATCCAAATCGACCACATCCGTGACGCAGAAAGGCTAACTGCTACTATTACCGGCGACGTATGCCACAGATGCCAGAATCAATACGATGCAATCAAGGGTTCGATAAGAGGCCCATTTGGCCGTCAGTTGGTAAAACGATGAAAAAGATCTATAGTGTTCCTATCTCACCTCCACAAATAGGTGCCGCAGCATTTTGGGCAAGCCAAAGCAAATACCGCCGCGGGCGGGCTTGACTGGGCGTACTCACCCGTGGTCTCCACGATGCCCTCCAGTATCACCACAATTTCAAACTGCTCCGTTTGCATGGACCTCTGCGAGAGGTCGTAGAAGGGGCTTTTGGTGTCAATCACGTGGCAGATGGTGAGCGGCGACACCAGAAAGAGCTGGTCTGCGCCCGTGCTAAAGCCGACGTCCAGCTCCAACTGGTCCAGGGGAAGGAACTCGCCTTCGGGGGTCTGCCGAGACTGAGGGTGAGGAGACAAGGAAATATTTAAAACATTTTCGGAGAGTGTATCGGATGGATTTATGTATGATATAATTTGGATGGGTGGATGGATGCATTTCGGTGGATGGAAGGATGGATGGATGGATGAGTTTCAGTGGATGGATGGATGGATGGATGGATGGGCAGATGGATGGATGGATGATTGAATTTAGATGGTTGAATGGATGGATGGTTGGATGGATTTGGGCGGATGGATGGATGGACGGACGAGTTTCGGTGGATGGTTGGATGGATGGAAGATGGATGTATGGATGATTGAATTTGGATGGTTGAATGGATGGATGTTAGATGGATTTTGGTGGTGGATGGATGGATGGACGTGTTTCAGTGGATGGTTAGGTGGATGGTTAGATGGATGTATGGATGATTGAATTTGGATAGTTGAATGGATGGATGGAAGAATGGATGGATAGATTGCACATATGGCAAAATGCAACTATTTTCAAACTGCAGCGGATCCTACTATTCGCGGAAAATAGGAACTGGTATGGCCCATGAACAGCAAAAAAATATATAAATCGGCAATATCTATCGATCCATCGATCGATAGAGATCCATATACACATGATAGCTGACTGGTTGGCAGGTCCGCCTCACGTCTCGCAGTGCAGAGGTGCGGGGTGTTCGATCCCGGCTCCGGGCCTTCCTGTGTGGAGTTTGCATGTTCTCCCCGGGCCTGCGTGGGTTTTCTCCGGGTACTCCGGTTTCCTCCCACATTCCAAAAACATGCATGGCAGGCTGATTGAACAATCAAAATTGTCCCTGGGTATGAGTGTGAGCGCGGATGTTTGTTTGTCTATGTGTGTCCTACAATTGGCTGGCAACCAGTTCAGGGCGTAACCAGCCGACTGCCCGAAGATTATGAGGAGAGGCTCCAGCATGCCCGCGACCCTCGTGAGAAGAAGCGGCGAGCTGTAATAAAAAAAAAAAAACTTCCGCGTCCCCCGGAACCCACGACACAGGGGGTTTGACTAGATTTGTCCCACAGGACCTGTCCTGCCTGTTTCATTTACTTCAATCTAAGATGTAAAGGTTTGTTAATAATTTCATGTTTGCAAGACAGACATGATTCAATCAATTGGAATTTGCATGACATCTGGTCGACTTCACGTTGAATTAATTCACGTTGAAATAACTCAAGGCAATCTTGTTGTGAGCGGTCGTCACGTGTCGACAAGGGGCAAGCGGAAAACTTGACAAGTGTGCCGTTTGCAGTCGCAATGTCGCTTGTGTCACAGTGGCCGACCGGTCAGCACATCTGCCTCACAGTTGGGAGGGTTGCAGGTTCAAATCTATTGTCTGGTCTTGCTGCGTTGAGTTTGCATGTTCTCCTACTGCCTGTTTGGATTTTCTGCTCGTTTCCTCCCACAGTTTAAAAAAAAAAAAGATTGCCGACATGGTAGGTTAAGGTGAAGACGCTACATTGTCTGTAGGCGTGAATTTGACCCTGCCAAGTTTGAATTGACCTTGTATTACCCCGCATAAATTACGTTTATTCAATCCAAGGCAATTTTATTTCATTCAACTTTAGTAATTTAGTAACAATAGAATTGGTTAAGGGTTCAAGAAAATCATTTCATTATGTGGAAATGTTTTTTTTTTTTAATCTTCATTGAAAGAGGGGATTTTTTTCAGATTTTTTTTTTTTTTTTTTTTGGGCAAAATGACGCTGCAGATATTTGAAAGGCTCGCGGAATTGACGAATGCAGTGACGGACATCTCAAGTGTCCGTTTTATCGTGTCAAAACCTGAATTCGAGCAATACATATCCAATCTGTAAAAAAAATGCAAAGTCATACCAGCCCGCCCAGTTTTGTTGCGGCGAGAAGGTATTTGCACTTTCCGACTGCTTACTTCCCACTCGCGGCATCCAGTGCGAGACCGGGGCCATTGGTCCGAGACTTGGGCGACTTACTTTGAGCAGTTTGCAGCGGATCTGCGCGGAGACCATATGGCTGTTGCGCAGGTTCCCCACGCGGAACATGAGCGTGAGTTTCCCGTCACGCATGGAGATGGCCGCGTGCTCGCTGAACATGAGCGTCTCGGCCCTCTTCTTGGGCTGGGACATCTTAATGAACATGCAGCCGATGAGGAAGGCGTCCACGATGGAGCCCAGGATGGACTGGAAGAGGAAGAGGATGATGCCCTCGGGGCACTTGTCCGTGATGTAGCGGTAGCCGTAGCCGATGGTCGCCTCGGTCTCGATGAAGAAGAGGAAGGCCGAGGGAAAGTTGTACACGTTGGCCACGCACGGCGTGTACTTGTCGTTGTGCGCCTTGTTCAGGTCGCCGCGGATGTAGGCGATGAACCACCACATGGACGCCATGAAGAGCCAGGCCACCGTGTAGGTGAGGATGAAGATGAACAGGTTCCAGCGCCATTTCAGATCCACCAGGGTGGTGAACAGGTCCGAGAGGTATCTGCTGGTCTCGCCCCCGAGGTTGCCATGCTGGACGTTGCAGCGGCCGTTCTTGTCCACGAAGCGCTGCCGCTTGCGCTTCTTCTCCGCCGCCGGCGCCTGGTTGCCGAAGCCAGAGCCGCTGGATGAGGTGGTCACTACCTGGTAATCGTCCCCGAATTTCTTTCGGAGTGCAGACATACTACGGAAGAAAACAAGATGCAGTGAGAAAATAATCGCGGCGGCGAGAAGACAAGTGCAAATAAAAGTCCGGCTGGTGTGAGTTGCCGCCTCCTTTCCGCCACCTCCTCCTCCTCCTCCTCCTCCAGCGTCCGTGCGCAAAGACGAAAATAAAATAAAAGGGAGAGAAAGAAAAAAGTGCGCTGCCTCGCTTGCCTTCTGCTCACACCGTCCTCTTTCTCCACGCACGACTCCCGCTGCGCCCCACAGCCATGAAATAATCAGCAGGGCGCGTGGACTTGCACAAGCCAGCCGAGGGAAGCCATACGAGATGCGAAATGGAGAGATGGGGGAAGGTGGAGGGGGTGGGAAAAAAAAACAACAAAATTACGCACAACGGGCTAAGGTGTCCACTTTTTGTGGCTTCCTCATCACAGGACAGAACTTGCTCAAACGCAAATAGCTCCAAATCCGCATCCGCGCGCTTCCCGCACAGTCCCAAAAGCACCGCGTAATGAGCTCGATTTCCAGGTTTGGGAGAAAGGGCTCGGCGCGCGCTCGCTGCCGCTGGCTTCAAGCTCTCTCGTTCCCTCTCCTCCGCAGTCCTGCTTTGGAGTGGACAGGTGGAAACATGTATCCAAATGCTCGGTCCCACTTTTTTCCTCGTCCGCTCTCTCTCAGGCAAACGCCGAGTGGACTCTCGTGATCGCCGTCCTCCTCCTCTGCTGCTTCTTTTCCATCTGACTTCTCCGCGAGCCGCTCCTGCGCATTCGCTCGCGCTGCCGGTGATGCGTTCACTGGCTTCTGGCGGTGGCACAATGACAGGCAATCGGGTGGGAGGGAAAGGAGGAACGGCGTGGAAAAACACGGGCGCGAAAATTGGACGTGATTCATTCTTATTGATGAGTGCATCGTTTATCGTGAATAAAGTCAGCTTAGCCTGCAGGGGTGAGCTCGTGGTAATTGGTCTCACAGTCATGGGGTCGGCTTTCGAATCCAAGCTGCGGCCTTCCTGCGTAAGTTCTGCCTGTGCTTGAGTGCGTTGACGCCGGCGGCCTCACACATTCCGGAAACATGCACATCAGGTTTGTTGAAGATTACATTTCATGGCATATCCGTGCTTGGCAGCACGGTGCGGGACTGATTAGCGCGTCCGCCTCACAGTACAGAGGCGCGGGGTTCGATTCCGGCTTTGGGCTTCCGGTGTGGAGTTTGCATGTTCTCCCCGGGTGCTTCGGTTTCCTCCCATGTTCCAAAAACATGCACGACAGCTTGATGGAATTCTCCAAATCGTCCCTCATGGTGATTGTGAACACGAATTCTTGTTTGTCTGTGTGCCCTGCGATTGGCTGGCAACCGGTTCAGGGTGTCCCCCGCCTACGACCAGAAGACACCCGGGATAGGCTCCAGCACGCCCGCGACCCTTGTGAGGATCAGCGGATTAGAAAATGGATGGATGGAGAAATATCTCTGCTTTTGCAGATGAGCGCAGGCCAGAGGATCTGCGAGGGGGAGGGCTGCGCAGCTGCGGGAGTGCACTCACAACCAAAATGTACTTGGGGTTATTTGAAGGCACTTTAAATGGCACGTTAAATGGTGGCAGGTGTGTTCTAAAAGCCATTTAACATGAGTTTGAAGGTGACTGAATTCAGTTTGTTTCACTTCCCGCGTGGAAGAAAAAAAACGGTATAAAAATGCTCAGTTCTTATAATTTGCTGAGAAGTTAAAAAATACAATTTCTCAGCATATTATTCCCCACTTTGAACACATTTGGGGCGTTTTGACTTTGGGGTGGAGTTACAGCAAAAGCCACACTTTGTCGAAAGCTCATAAAAATGACTCAAGAAATTTTACTGTCCAAAAGAAGAGGATGGCGCAAAAGAAGTCATGCGGCATGAGAAGGAAAAAGAAAATATGGAATCACAGTGACATCGCTGAGGACTGGATGTCCTTCCAAATACGAATGAAAAGATGAGACGAAAACAGGTCACGGAGGCTCTGAAGAGTCCTGCAGGATCACTGAGGAATTGTTGGCAAGTATAGGCTGTGTCCTACATGGGACAACAAACATTCCATTTTATTAGTATATCTGGGCAAGAACATCACAGACTGGACGAAATAAAAATAAAAATCAGGAAAAAAAAGCGTTCCCCCATAACATTGTGGTTTATTGACCACTATATTGCATTTATGAAGGAATCGTGAACATATTTGCTTCTTTTACAAATAAACTGTACAGATTATACTGCAAATGACCTTTTTTGCAATTCGTTTTAAAAACCTATTGCGCTCTATTTCATCCACTTCTCAAATCCACTGGAACATCTACTCTACTTGTTGCCAAGCAGACCTGTCATCTCCGGTTACAAATGCATCCTGTTTACAGCTGCTGTTGGGTCACCTGTACAAAACAACCTCCAATGACCCCTCCCCTCCCCCCGGACACTCCTTCTCCGTCCCATGGGAGCGTGCGCCACCATTATTCCATTAAGCCTTCACACAAGGTCCTGGCAGAGCACTTTGAGCGAAAGACAGCTGACACTCGCTAGGAAAAAAAAAAAAAAAAAACACTCGACAAGATCTCTGGAGACAAGGTGCTGGAGGTATCGGCTGAAAGCCGGGTTCAAACAAGACTCTCGAGTTTGGATCAATTCACACGAGCAAATCTTCCATCTTAAACATCGAGGGGGCTCCGGTTATCTCTGCTTCCGCAAACAAGTGCAGGCCGGCGGATCTGCAAGGAGGAGGGCTGCGCTACCGTGGGAATGCTCACAACTGACTTCAATCATGGCCAATCGAAGTGTCTCCTTTCATTCCCTTTAAATGTGGCATGCTCGTCGCGCGCTAGAGTCCTGACAGAGGCAAAGCACGACTTCACTGTGAGACCGATCCCCACCCCAGATCACTCCAGACCAGTCGCGCTCCCCAGTGGGATGATTCCAAAAATAGATTACACAATTTCACAAGGTTTGATGATAGTTGTTCACATATTTATGAATTAAATATGCCGCGTAGAGTATATCCACATTTCTGTCTGATCCTGCTCTCAGATGGTCATGGCGCACGCACCACAATGAGCGGTGAAGGAGAAAGCAGGACAAAAACCTTCTTAATTGTATTCAATGACGTCATGAATGTCTGTTTTTATGAAGTGTAATATTAGAGAATGCTCAGTAAGACACATTTGAAATGAAAAGAGAGAATGAGACGCAATTGCCAACAGATATTAGAATTGAGATGAGCCCTGTTTTAGACAACAAACACGGCGATGAGCACATCGTGTAAAGGCAGCACTTGAAGTTGGACAAGCATTCGCCAAAAGACACAATCCATACGTATCGATTTCGCACTGTCGAAGACACGGCAAAAGACAGAATTCGACGCGATGTCACGGTGTCGTATCCTTTTGTGAACCAGGAGTGTTGTGGCACGGTTGCTCTTTGCGAACATCATTATCACCCAATCAATAAATCAATGACGACGGCCGCTGAGATATCCAACAAGAAACCGGTTGCTATGGAGATATACGGGTAAAGAAAAAAAAACATTCCAGTCTCATTAGATTATTAAATCAATAAACAATCAAAGTGACTTTCAGACAAGGCAGGAGGACCTCTTTCCTCAAATGAGAAAATGAACCACCGATGCGTCGTCTTCTGTTGTTCATTTTGTTAAATGTCATCCTCGATAGGTTGATTTTCGGCCTATTTTTAAACAATATTTGGATCAGTTGTCTGGCGATCGATACCCGACAAATCCTCCTATGACTGCAGACTATTTTATTTTTATTTATTTTTTTGATCAATTGTCCAGTCTGACACCAAAACAGTCCAAATTGGAGTTTGGAGACCCAAATAAATGATTGCATAGCAGGTTGGAGAAATGTTGACGCACTTCTTCAGACAGCAGGTCACCCTAATTGCCAGGTGAACGTTACAGTTGAGCACAACTTTTTATAATGAGTTGCGAGGGGAGGAGTGGGTCATCCGGCAAGCATTGTGGGGCGGGGGCGGGAGGGGCATACACACATTTGCGCAGCAAAAAATAGGGCTATTAGTCTGGACTGGCCAACGGGCAGTCTGCACTATCAGTGTGCAGTGGTGGCAGCTCTCTGCTATGCTCATTCCAAGTGTCTTCCAACTAATTGTCTTATCCGATGCACACGCATCGTAAGAATGCAATTAGTGCAGGCAGACGGTCAACTGCGCAATGTCTCAAATGGCTTCTGAAAACATGCGATAATAAGAAGTATCCTGACAAATGACAAAATATTCTTTGCTCCCTTTTTGAAAAGGAGACTGTTACTTTAGAATAAGATGACTTCAGTCAAAGTGAAAAGTACAGTGAACAAACAAAAGTTCAGAGGAAGTGGTAAGTAACGTCTGGTGTATTTATATTTGAAAAGGCGCAAGAAGCTAAAATAGGAATGTGCATATTCAACAAAATTCAGTGAAATCAACAATCTATTTTTCAATTAACTTTTTGATTTCACGCGTGAACCAGGATACTGCTGACCATTTAAAACTTAAATGCAATTTAAATTTGCACACGCACGCACGCACGCAGTAGAAGTCGCCATTTTCTTTTTCAGCGATCTGAACCAATCAGATTTCACATTAACCGTTCAGACACGTGATGTCACATTTTCCCGTCCTCTGATTGGTTGACCAGAGCTACTCGTGTGTGATTTATACTCGTGCCGCAGGTGACTTAACAGAACGTGTATGTGTGTGTGTGTATATATATATATATATATATACCCCCTCTCTCTCTCTCTCTCTCTCTCTCTCTCTCTCTCTCTCTCTCTCTCTCTATATATATATATACATACATACATACATACATACACTTTGATATCCGTCTGTAACCCGCTGAATAAAAATAGTTCCCGATGGGTGGGTGCGGAGGAGATTGATTTGTCAATCCAATCAGGCCGAAGTAGAACATGAGATGCACTTGCGCTCCTCTCAGAATCAGCCATCATTGGATGTCTTTCGCCGAGTGGATCGGCAATCATAACAGACAATCTTCTCTCATTTTCCGGCTGCTTCTGTTGTAATCTTTACCTCGAGGCAAAATAAAACGTCTGCTTTCAATTAGGTGACTTGAAAGTCTGCCTGACTTGGTTTTGTTATTGATTTGTCCCTTTTAATGTTGCCAAACAGTGTGCTTTGACACGTTATTGGTAAACAAGCCATTTCTACAGTAAATTATTGATTGAGTTCCTCTATCGATGCCGGCAACATATAGTGGCAGGCAGAACCACAAAATGGACACGTGAAGGGGCTGTGATAAAAACAACAGCTCAACCACAAATTGAACTGGGAAAAAAAAAAAAGGATACGTGAAATTATTGTAGCAGTGAAGCATTCCCCCTTGTGCAGCCACAATAGAGCTTGTTAGATGTAAAAAAAAAAAAAAATAGCAACATGGCTTTTGAGGCAAAGCTCTTATTGGCCCATGATTGATTATGACACAATTACCGCTGAAAGCAACAAGGCCCCTCAAACCTAATCACCGCTTTTGTCACCTAATGGAGATGATCACATGGGAGATGCTTGTAAGGGCCACATCCATCCTTCAAATCAACAGAGAATTTACTCAAGAGCACATGGCAGAAAATGCCGCTTTCATAGCCCCTACATGGGCTTGGAGCGGATCCTTGAGGAATGCCTGGATAACGTCAACCTTGCCGACTCCACTTCGAGAACTGAATGCATTGACGCAACCCAAAAAGCCTCTCTGGTTCTCCAACTCAACAATTAGTTGCACGATGTTGGCGGCGGATTGAATAGAGAACAAAAAAATGGTTCCGAGTGTTTGATTATCCTCCCTCCCGAGCTGCCTCGGCCCATGATTGTAATCACTTAGTTGATGCACCCGAAATTGAAGCTGGGAGAAGCAAGCTGCACGCCATACAATCAAGCACATCAAAGACAATTGGTGAGACGGGACACAAAATGTACCGCGCGGCGTTTGGAGTCGAGGCACAAAATGGATTAAATGGGGGTCGTCACAACGGTCGAAGGGAAACCGCTTAGCGGGGGTGGGCGGTTCCATGCAGCTGTGGCATGTCTATGATTTATTTCCTCAGCGTACCTAACTGTGAGCTCACTTGGATTTATCGTGTGGAATCGAGAATTGTGTGAAGGTTATGCATAGCCAGAGGAATGAGCTGGGGTGTTGTTGATTCGATCGCAACGTGTTCGCTGGCTAAAAGAAGTCGTGACTGGAATGGGCTTCGTTCTGGGCAGCAACGCAAGTGGCTGATTTGGGCGGTGGCTCCAGCAAGGCGATATTCCTCTCGGCCAGGAACTGTCAGGTGCTCGGGACTTTTCCGAGCAGCCACGAGTTGTCCTGCCACAAATCTCAGCTCTTCTTGACCAAAGCGAAAGCCAGAAGAGAAAACTTGTCGGTCGTGGTTTGGGTGCGATCTGTCGATTTTGTGACACCAGTCCTGGGACTTTTCTGACATGTCTCGTAGAACAATCAAATGAAAAAAAACATGACCAGACTTGTTTATTGCGTAAGGATGGCGTGCTATATTTTACTGTAACCAATTGTTAAACTCAAAAACGAAGAGCCAAACTCAAAATGCCATCAGTGTTTCATGCGAATTATATGCCGATTCTGATGGAATCGACGTGACTTCGCTTAGCTTTGTGAATCGCCCCAAGTCCTCGTTCAACGAGACAAATCCAATGAGACGGGGATTGCTCTCGACGTTCTAAAGAGCAGAAGCTATACATCCTTCCTTTTCAAATATGAGCTCGCGCTTGATATAAGCGAGAACCGCTCAGTCACCCTGGTGAGACGCTGTGATCATGCTCCACCCTGGCGAGAGCCCCAGTCAGCCAAACAAAATCCAAGATAAGGCCTCCATTAGGGCTATTATTTCAAAGGATCGCACCCTTAATGGACTCCCCTGGTTCCGGCCACAGACCCGCTCTATCTTATCCTCACAGGCCTAGTTAACCAGCCTGGGTTTTGCTTCCTCCGGGTGCGAGGCTGTTTGAAACCGCAGCGAGTCCCAACAGAGCGCCTGTCGGGAGCGAGGTGAGGCACTGATGTGTTGTCAGCTCTGCAGCAAACTATTAATAGTTGCGCAGTACCGGCGCTTTGGAGAGGCCGGCCTTGTAAAGTGGGAGAGGTTATTCGCGTGATGGGGGAGACATTCAAAAGGGAAAAGCCTTGCGTGCACCTTTTAAAGAAACAAAAAGTGCCAAAAGTTGGAATACGAATGGAAAAAGCAATTTCCTGACGAGTAGGTTTGGCAAACAGGAGCTGTTATTTGCTTCCCCTGCTCCATGTTCTGGATAAACAGCGCCGACTTTGTTTTTTTTAATGGGTCCCACATTTTTTTGACATTCCGCCAATATTCTGCTCGCATAAGAGTTGCGACAGCCAGGGTGACGTCTGGCAAACACCGGAATGCCAGGACAGTCGTTTCACTTCTCAGTCTGACCGTCGCTGACTGAAAATTCATTTCAAGGAGGTGTCAGAAAGGTTCCAGGACTGACATCACCAAAGAGAGAGAGTTCAAAACAAAACTACAAAACGTTTGCTCGCCGGAGACCAGATGCCAGCACCTTCAGTGGAGTACGATGTCACCAAGGCCAAGCGAAGCAGGAAAATCGAAGTGCTCAGTCAAAGTCAGGTAGACCATATTCTTCATCCTCCGGAGCGAGTTCTTGCCACACGGCCGGATGATTCGACGGCAATTCTACGAAAAGATTCTATGACGTTTGCTTTGTTCATTTAAGAGGAGAGGCGAGCGCGGTGACGGGCCAAATCTTGGTTGCTTCACCACGACAACAAGCCTGCTCACGATGCGACGAGCATCTGACAGTTCCTGGCCGAGAAGAACATCATCGTCTGAGGACGGCTATAAGAATAGTGCTTAAAATAGTTATAGGTAGCAATTAGCGGTCGCTACGGTCCGGGACAGTTATCAAATTCAGGATTCTACTCTGAGAAGGCGAAGACAATCTTTTTGCAGGTGCTTCAGTTCAGCTTCTGATGTTGGATCTCTGTGATGCAGAAGCCAAAGACGCCAACTCTCGACTTGCGCCCAGCCCTCATCACATCACACGGAATTCATCAAGAAAGCAAAGTCTGAAGTTCTCACGTGGCGCAGAGCCTCTCTGACTAAATTGCACCAGGCAGAGTTAAACAGATGGTTTCAATTGCATGTGTACTGTCATTTGTAAGAGAAAATCCCGCGTTGTACTGTAATCCCACTTGAGATGCGATGCTAGGAGGGAGTGACAGTCCAGAACTTCGGATTCACTGTTGAGTCAGTCAGAGAGACGTTTTTCGGTGCTTTGCTGCCATTTTGTTTTGTAGCAAAGTATTCGTGAGCTCAGCAATTCAGTCTTTGCTGTCCATCTGAGAATAATAATGTCGATGGTTATTGCAGTTACCACTAATTTTATATCCTGGGGGGGAGGGGGGGCATCTATTTTGCGAATATGCGGCAAATGGTAGCTTTCTTTTTTTACTCTTTCAGGTACAGCGGTTACAACAGCGGACATCTTATCAGGTTACCAGGTTACAGGGTGCATGAAAGGGTTAAAAGGGTTAAAAGACTTTTATGCAAAAGTAAATGCCACCAGTTCAGAATTTTTTTTAACGCTTTTCATGTATAGTGTGTGAGTTTACATTCCCATCGGGGTTTGATCCACCACGGCGCCGACATGACTGAAGTCGTTGAGTTAATCATCAAATATAGGCGGGCTGCCCGTGAAAATAATTAAAGGCGGACATGGCGTCGAGTGGCAGGCACCTACGCCGCTCAAAGTCGAATAAGGACAACTGATCGACTGCTGACTTTTTAATTACAGTTGTGCTTCGGGGAGCTCATAAGACATTTCACCACGATATGTTCCAAAAAGGTGCATCTCCTAGCAACAACAACCTTGGAATGTCACTCACCCGTTGCCGTGGGAAATACAGTACTTAGCCGGAAATGTAATTTAGCCCAAAGTCGTGTCTGAGTTGTCTTTCTTTTTTTTCTGTCAATGTGCTCTTACCTTTTTGTCTGGTTCCCCTTCGGGGGCAAAGACCCCGGGCGGGGGGGTGAGCGCTTGGTAATCAGCTCCCAATCACTTCCTGCTGTGCTCAGCAGGAAGACGCCCGATTGTTGCGTTTGTTCCTTTTGTATGAGCCAAAGGGACTTTTTTTTTCTCATCCTGCTTCTTGTTCTGTGCATTTTGACTGTCTTCATGGTAACCTTTGCTCTCTCTTCCTATCACAGTTAAGTCAAATATTTTCCTCGTCTGCTCCTTTTGTTGCGCTGCTTCGGTTTTCTTCCACCTTGCGCCGCAGTAGTTTGAGGTTCGTTTTTTTTTTCTTAACCGTTCACTTTTAATTTCCCTGTTTTGTTTTTGGGTTTTTTTTTCCTCTCCTTGGTTTTATGACTTTAGTTTGCGCCCCCCAATTAAAGCCTTGGGATGCACCAATAACAATACAAGTATCGCATTCTGTGCCGGTACTGTACATGTGTACTGGTACATTATGACTCCAGTACCAATTTACCACATCTACCTTCCAAGTGGAGATACTCCAACCCTCTCCTTTCCCCTTAGTCCTACAAGGCCACAAACTGTTTCCTCGCTGGCTGAATTCATCCCCCAACACACTATGACTGCTTATGCTTTCTCATTTTATTTTGAAGTGGCATTAAAAGAGATCTGGATCAAATCCAGATCCCCACATCCATTGGTGCTGCCATATAATATTATCAGATGTAAACGTCAATGGAAGTAGACTGCCTACATTTGCACAAATGTTGATCCCAATCCAAATAAGAGGCATAAAAAAGGTTTGACAGAAATTGATTCAACAATAATAATAATAGAGATGAGCTCTACTCTTCACGTCATTTTGAGAGCATTTATTGTGCAGATCTCAAAAGTCACAACCAAAACTGTATTGCGAAAACAAAACATATTTATGGGATGCTAACTTTGCGTCGCACAGCGTGTGTGTGTGTGTGTGTGTGTGTGTGTGTGTGTGTGTTTCCCTTTCCTATGTTGTTCAGTCTGCCACTTGTAGGCAGCTGTGTGGCCTAAGATTGATAAGTGAAAGCTTTGGTCACATCAAATCAACCTTCCTCCGACATTCTTATTGGATGCAGTTTGCTCCAGATGACAAATGACGAGCGACACGCTCGTGGAAAAGGGACACGATATTATCTTTTCTATTGTCTTTGATATCGTCGTGTTGCCCGGCTCTAACTCGCACTCGCACGCACACTGACAGTCGCACTCACCTGGTGCCGCAAGGGCTACTGGCAGGTGTCCCTGAAAGCATTCAGCTGCCCCGACACCTGCCAGACTCTTCCAGTTTATCGTGGGGGATGAGCTGCCAGTTCAGTTTTTTTCTAAACCTGTCCTGTAGTTGTTGTTTTTTTTCCCCTGCACTTTATCCCTCACTGTTTGTTTGCCACCTTTTGGGAGGAACTTGGTGTGAATCGCAATCAACGCACTGAAGCGTCAATCAACCATCAGTTATAGCACTCTTTATCAATTTGAAACCCTCAGCTTTTTAAAAATAGATGCTAAAAGAGAGTGATGTAAGCGGTGGTGTGATAATGTATCACTTTAGTTGTCCTGGAATTGTGTTTGTTGTTTATTTTTTTAAAGAACTAAAGTCCCCTACTTGTGTCACAGGCTACATTTAAGTGAAATGCGTGGTGGGACTGTTAAAAAAAAAAACATCCAGCTGGAGGTTAAAATGGCAGAAAATGTTACACTTGAGTACAACTTAAGCAATTTTCATTTGTGGTTTTGAACAATATTTAACTCAAGTTGAACACGCTTGCGCCTTTGGGTTCGGACCTGTCACAAACTTTAACATCCAAACTGCTTTATTTCAACATGTGAATATTCTCGCACCCCGAAAAAAAAAAAAAAGATATAAAATCCAGCTGATATGTCATAAGCAGATATTTAGTCAAATATGGACGTTGGTATCCGCCGTTCAATATCGTGTGTTCCCTGGACAGTGAGCAGTTTCACTTGACTGCAAAGGGCTGATACGAATGGAGGATGAATTACTTGAACGGCAACAAAGATTGTGTTGTTTCAACGATTGTACCCGGACATCAGTGGAATCGCAGTCTTGTACATTTACATATAGACACTTTTTCACTTTTTTTTTTTTTTGTCGTCGTCGTTTGTCCAGCAGCTACGCAGTGGTTTGACTAGCGGTGTTTGTACACCCAGCGGCAGATTTAATGACCAGTTCTGCGGCTTGTTATGTCGCCACCAAGGGCAGCAGCTCTTGAACCTGAAGTGAGCTGGAAAAGGAAAGTCCTCCAGAGTTCAAGATGACCCGGTGCTACGGGGCGGGTTTCTCGAGAAATGATGATGATGATGATGATGATGATGATGGAGGCGATTAGCAAAGCGGCGTAAAGGCTGGAGCCGCACGATGAAGGCGCGGACCTGCACTTGGTGTGAGACGGCCGAGCGGCGGAGGAATCAGAGATTCAGGGTCATGTTGCGGAGCAGCCACTGCTGAGAGCGGCTTCCGTTGCAGTCCCTCAGAGTGGGGACCATCTTGTCCTCCTCCAAGGGCATGTCCAAACACTGGTTGCTGTTCACATGCAGCAGGGTGAGTCTCTGGAGAAAGAAGGAAACGGCCCTGTTATCGATGCGTACATTTTTTACAGCTTGTCCTGTGCGGGGCTCACGGGAAAGCTTGGGCCAATCCCAAGACAAACTAGAGTACACAATGGACCCCCAAAAACCGCTCGATACACATAGTGGCAACGCAAACTGCCAGTCGCGGGAGGTTTGGCGATGTATCACTTGAGCTGTTGTTCCAGATTCCACCGTTTCGATGCCATGTCGACCATCATGAGGCAGCGCAGATCCGGGCACTTATTTAGCCGCATTATAATCCACTAATACCTCCATCCATCCATCCATCCATTTTCTGATCCGCTTCTCCTCAAAAGGGTCGCGGGGGGTCCTGGAGACTCACCAGCCGTCTTGGGGCAGTAGGCCGGGGACACCCTGAACCGGTTGCCAGCCAATGGCAGGGCACACAGAGACGAGCAGCCATCCGCGCCCACACTCCCACTTAGGGACAATTTAGAGTGTTCCATTAACGTCCCATGCATTTTTTGGGAATGTGGGAGGAAACCGGAGTACCCAAAGAAAACCCACGCAGACATGGGGAGAACATACAAACTCCACACAGGAAGGCTGGAGGCGGGATCGAACCCTGCACTGTGAGGCCAACGTGCTAACCAGTCGACTCCTCCTCCACTAATATCTGAATTCACAAATGTAGTTCCTTCGCTCCGAGATGCCACGGAAGCAATATTTTAACTTAGCTCGTCATGCCTACATCCTGAAAATGCGTCCTTGCCGTGTCCGCTTACAGTGAACGTGCCTCGTTGTCCGCCATAGGGTGCGCATGCCATGAAAAGAAGCTAGACAGCCACTCCTGAATTCACAAATGTGAAGCAATATTTTAACTTAGCTCGTCGTGCCTACATCCCGAAAATGCGTCCTTGCCGTGTCCGCTTACAGTGAGCGTGCCTCGTTGTCCGCCATAGGGTGCGCATGCCATGAAAAGAAGCTAGACAGCCACTTTACAGGGATTTTAAAAAAACAAAACAACTTCCAATTTCTGATCTAAGGTCCTTACTCTTCAAATGTAATTAAAAAAAAAAAATTGACTTAAACTCTTTCAATCTCAAGTGTCATGACTTCACAAGATGATGTTTCCAAATAGGCCTAGAGCGAGGGGAAGGAAAATGAAAAATCCATCATGACAGCCACTTTACAGGGACTTTAAAAAACAAAAGAAATTCATATTTCTGATCTAAGGTCCTTACTCTTCAAATGTAATTAAAAGATAATAATAATTTAGACTTAAACTCTCATGACTTCACAAGATGATGTTTCCAAATAGGCCTACTTCTTCTCTCCATATTGTCCTTACCCAGCCTCTTTTCCTGCTGTCATTTCTCTCACATGCACCAGAGGAGGGAAGAAGTGCTTTTAAAATGTCCGATAATAATAATTTAGACTTAAACTCTCATGACTTCACAAGATGATGTTTCCAAATAGGCCTACTTCTTCTCTCCATATTGCCCTTACCCAGCCTCTCTTTTCCTGCTGTCATTTCTCTCACACGCACCAGAGGAGGGAAGAAGTGCTTTTAAAATGTCCAGATGAGAAAAACAGAGCTGACGCGATGAGTTCAGCTTAAGCACAGCGTGAGAATGTTCCTCACGTCGTTTCGAGCTCCGGGGCCCACCAGCGAGCTGAGCGGAGCATTTAAGTGAGTTCTCTCCCAAAGTAATTTACAATTTCAGTCCCCACCGGAGTAGCTTCACTTGACGGAATCGCAAGCAGTGTCTCTGCTCAGGAAAACAATTTGACCACATGCGATTTGCACGTCACTGTCGTTTGGGCATTTTTTTGCAAACTGACGTTTTGGCTCTTCATTCAAGCAACATTGTGCTTTTGATATCTTCATTAAAGTGAGATTGTGCTTGAACCGTCGGGAGATAATGTGCACACAGAGACACTTAAGCTATGTTTGCACTTGGGTCATAAAGCACAAGAGCTGAACCTTCTCTGCCGGGATAAAAAAGAAGTGCGCACACATCACGAAGTTGGCAGGACCGAGCTTTTTACGCCGCATCTTTTGTTCAAACAGAGGAATAAAGAGAGCAGGTGTTGTTCAACATCACACCCCTTTCAAATGACCCTTTCCCCCCTCCCTTAGAAACTAGAAAAGAGAAAAGCACTCAGTCCAACGCAGATCCCTTCTCAGGTTGAAAAAAAAAAGTCTTTGTTTGTCTCACCATATTGTGGCAAGCAGCACTTTTCTGCAATCGGCGCTCTGACGTCGATCTACAAAGCAGCAGATGTCACTAATTTCTTTTATTTTTATTTTTCAAATCCATTGCCATTGTTTTTGTTGGGTCTTTTGGGAAGATGGAACACATTAATGGCCCGTCCATTCATATCAATGGAGAAAGATGATTTGAGATGCAAGTGGACATAAATGGAATGGATTGGTTGCATTTCCAATTGTTTCGATGGGAAAACCTCGGTGTGAGACCGGCTTCGTGGAACTAATTAAATCACACGCACACACACACACACACACAATTATTATTTTAACAGCAGCTATTGTTTGCCACAAAAAGTCTGCACGTCTGAGTGCTATGATGGTGACAGTGCTTCCAGAATGTATTTTTTTTTTTTTAAAAGGCCTTTATGGAGGCTTTTCTGCAATAATGAGAGCAGTATCCTAGAAATGGAGATGGCAGAGGAATATTGCAGGAGAGGGAGAAAAGACTTTCCAGGTTTAAAAAAATATATATATATATAAATATATATGCAGGTCCTGTCCTTTGCTCATAATTATTTCATGTCCCCCTCTCGGGGAAGAGAAAACTCTCATCTCAGGCTCCCGGGCGAACCAAGCCGTGTCTTTGGAGCAGGCGGCCGAATGTGTGCGCAGCTGAGACCGGCTAATTAAATGAGGACAGGTTCCGACCATGAGCCCCATGGTTCCCTGAGGACCATTATCCTCGGTGGCCCGGCAGCTCACAGGAGCCGCTAAAAAGGCTTTCCCGCTTAACGTGCGCTCGCGTTGGACTCGAAAGAGGAGGAGCCGCTCTGGGAAAAAGGACCACTTCCTTTGTCTCTCTCCGCTGTGCCGAGCAAAAGCCTCGTCGGTTGTAATGGTGCGGCGCTCAGAGCTCTCCCTCTCGTCGTGCTGACTGTGGTACAACAACGAAGAGTGAAAAGCAATTCAGGCCATCAAACAGCAGGTCACTTCACGACTGACTCTGAAACACACTAGCAGCCATGGGAGATCTTTACCCAATTTACCCAGCCTGGACAAGAAAAACGCAGCCGGTGAAATTGCTCTTTCCATCTTTTTTTTTTTTTTTGTCCGTTTCCTTTTAACAGCGCAACAAAACACCATTCAAACTCTAACACAGCAGGGGGTAAACGGAGCCGGAGAGACACCTGGCCGCAAAGACAAAAAAAACAGACAAATGCTGCATGTAAATGAGCAGGCAGAATGCCGCTGATAATTGGGATTCGTCGGTTTTATAACATGTGCACGGCGTACAGTGTGCACAGCTGCCAACGAGCCCGAGAGGCCTGAAGGGCCAGCGCCACAAAAGGCGCGCTTCAAAATGAAGGATCACTTCAAAAGAACTTGCAAACAATGGTCAGCCCCTTTCAATCAACCTCGCACACAAACAATAATGAGCTAAAAATAAACACGCCCTCCACCGTCGCGGGCGTCGCTCACCTCGCTCGGCGGCCGAGCGGATTTTCAACATTCAATATTTATGATGGGAAAACAAATGTCAAACGGCATCTAATTTGGCGCGGAGGCCAACAAAAGATTTTCGTGGATAGCGTCGTACACGCTGAACCATCTCAATGGGACATCTGTCGTCGCTTGATGTGCCCCTGTCCTTGTTTACGTGCCTTCTCCTTGAAAGGTCATCGGCAAAGGCGCCTTAATGCTTCCGAAAAGCATCCATTCGGATTACTACCGAAAGTTCAACCTCACCAAAATAGGCTGCGCGTTGATCTGTTCCCACCACAAACGCCAACGTGAGCACAGATCGCAGTTTGGCGAGTGAAATTGAAACTTTCCAGGCAAATACGAGCCCAAAACTCAAAATCCAGAATCTGAGCAAAAAGGGAGAAAGACCTTTTTTAACAAACCCACAAACCAAATGAGTGATGGTAACAGCTATGATGGACTGATTTCTTGGACGTAGTATTTGAAATTTTCTGTAAAAGCGCTTTGTTACATCTGCACTGGTTGTGAAAGCGCCATATAAATAAAGCTGTATTGTGTTGTATTCCCTTTAGCGTAGCTCCATCTAGTGGATGCATAACATAACCGCAGCCACTATTGTAGCTTCTATTCCAGGGATGTCAAACTCATTTCACATTTCGGGCCACATACGGCCTCAGTCGATGTCAAGTGGGGAGGCCCATTAAAATTAGACCATCTAGGAATAACCAAAATATCATGACTTTCCTTTGTTCTGGTATAAAGAAGCATTGGCGCATCGATACCGTCTGCTGGGTTGGGTCTGTCTCAGTGACAGACTTGAGACTGCTGTTGTCTTCTACTCTGATCAAAACAGTGTGCCCCCTAGTGGATAATCCACGAATCCATTTTATTAAAAATATTCATTCCTTGTCTTTTATGCATTTGTTTCACTTTTAAATTATCCTGCGGGCCTGATTGAACCTCCTTGTGGGCCGGTACCGGCCCGCAGGCCGTATGTTTGACACCACTGTTCTATTCTATGCGCCTTATAATGCCGTGCGCCCGAAATATATGAAAACAGTTTTTAAAAAGGCCATTCATTGAAGATGGGTAAATGCCATGAATTCTATTTTTTTTTTAAATAAAATACATGACTTGGGTGGATTTAAATACGGTATTTCTATATTGCGGATTTGACTTCTTGCGAGGGTGGTCTGGAACGTAACCCCCGCGCTGGAGAGGCGATGAAAAAAACCAACCATTTGATTAATTGTAGTCGCTATAGTTGCTGCCTGTCTGTTGCATCCCAAAGTTTTTTGTACAATGGGACATGACACACAAGCTCCAAAAAAAAAGCATTTCTCTCTGAGAAACTATGCTACGGGTATCTCTCCAGCTTCTACTCTACCACTCTACTCTACCTCCTTAGCGCTACAAATACCGCTCACCTCGAGAGCCGTCCAGAGCAGGCCGAAGCTTAAAGAAAATAATCAGTGGGATTGAAGTAAAGGCGCCTAGCGACCTCCACCCGTGTGAAGTTGTGCAGGATCCAGGCCTGAAGGGGACTGTTGTTACAGTACTCCACCGTGGGGCCCAAGGTGCCGTCCTCGAGGCGGCTGATGGTCAGACACGACTGGGTGATAATGTGGAGAAAGGTGTGCTTCTGCGGCGAGCAAAAGGGAAGGCAAGTCACAGCGTTATTGTCAGGAAAGGTTCACACTAAATGATGAGATTTTTGTTTTTTTCTCCTTTTTGCCGTTCATTTAACCCCATCGGTTTTAAACCACAAACGATATCAGAATCGGTAACAAGATTTTAGTGTCAGTTTTGGCGCTAACAAATAACAAAGAGGCCTCATGAATAAAACACTCGCACCCAACCGTCTTTTCGATACTGAATGCAAAAAAAGAGAAAAAAAAATGCAAATCGCCATGAGACCCTCTGTAATGGACCACAAATTTTGAATGCATTTTTCATCTTTTAATCATAGTTTTCTCGCTCAAAGAACACGAATGTCACAGCCGTTGCAAGTTAACGTGTTAGTTATGCAAATCTGCACTCGACGGGGGTTAATTGGAAGGACTGGCGTGTCATTGAAATGCTATTTGGAAATGATTGTATGCACTGAACTGTTGGATGTAAGCCTGCTTTGCAAGTCGCAGACCTCGAGGGATGAGGTTATGCCTTCATATACACCAGCAGCTCTTGGGAAATCCCTCCCTTGATTTTTTTCCTTTTGGGGGGAGGGGGGCACGAAGCAGTTTCGTGGTATTAAAATCGTCTGGGTCATCAACTCCACCTGTCTGCTTGTAGAGCAATATGTTTGTCCGCTTGTCTTCCGAGGCCTTTAAATAAGGTCCACCAATTCAAGGTGATATTGAATTGGGGGGTGGAATATTGCATTACATCAATATTTTTCGCCACCTCTATTGCCCGTGCATTTCCACGTCTTGGGTGAAAAAAAATAAAAACAGTCTCGCTCAAATATTCTCAATAAAATAATGACTTTTGACCACAAAATAATTATTGCCCACAAAAAAATGATTTTGTTCGGTTATTATGACTTCAAGATGGCACCCGAGAGTGGCTGCCTTTACAGCAGCTCCGATACTTTTAGTTCTTCTGGTGTGGGAAGCTAAATAAAAAGTCATTATTATGGAGAAATGTATCCCAATAGCAAGTTGTGCCCCACTGGAACATGAACACGGGGCGACAATGCGGAGAGACCACATTTCAGAGAGGCTTCCCTTTGATTCGCGGGCCTCCGTCAAAAGGAGCCTGGCCCAGTTGACATTAAAAAGTGGGTCACCTTCAAATTTTTCTCAATGTCCCCCGTATACACGCCCGCTCCGAGTTTATAAATTGCCAAGAGCTCAACCGCTTTGGGTCCTGGACACGGCCGAAAGCGCATCTGCTGGAACAGGCACTTGGTGGACCGAGTTATTCAGGCGGGAGCGCGGAAACATCAGGATATTCCAGATTTGGAAAGCGTCTGCCGGTGGTTGAGTGACAGCGGGAGGGTGAAGCGCTTCGGGGCATTCTCACAACAGGTGCTGCTCGTCCTTCTTTCTGATGGGAAAGGCTACCTTTCAACCCACTTTCACAGTCCGGGAGACAGATACAGCCCCAATGGCGGCAAACTTCGCTGGGGATTCCATTTCTCGTAGTTTGACAAAAAAAAAAAAAAAAATCTGTTCAAAGTCTGAAAAATGTAAATGTGTCTCTGGGGATCCAAAGGCCAACCTCCCCGAACCAAGTCGAATGTAAAGCTTTTCTTCAGAGGTGTGATACTATTGATTCGATATTCTTAAGGGAACCCACATGGCTGAGAAATCAATGGGCTCATGTTAAGTTCACCCCGTGAGGGAAATTCGAAACAAGAACAATCTTCTTCGGTCCCCACAGTCCGTTTGGAAGTCAAACCCAACCGTTTTTTTTTTTTTTTTTTTTGTCCCTACAGTCCGTTTGGGAGTCAAACCAAAGAACAAGTTTTGTTTTTTTTTTTTAATCCATGTTTCTCTTGGAACCAAGGGTAGGCCTTAAAAATCGACTAGTGGCAAAGTCTTAGACTGCGTGAAATGGATTGCACAACCGTTGGTAGTTTTCCCCAGTGGTCAATCAAATGTGAAACGGATTGCTGACCCATCGCGTCTTGAAACATTCAAAAGGCGCAAGTGCGCCGTTGACTGTCTCCACTCTGTATTCAAGAAACAACCGTTGGTAGTTTTCCCCAGTGGTCAATCAAAGAAATGCTGTCAAAACCCGACATACTCTTGGCATTTCGTGTCTCCTCCAAAATAAAAGTGCCCTACGAGACTCGTCCTTTCTTATGGAAACGGTTACCCCTTCCCTACTGCACAACAAATATGCAACGTTCCCATCGGGAATCAGGCCTCTAAAAATAGCCGAACAAACTCCAGATCAATACTCCGAGGAGCATTTAATGCCATCTTCGACACAAAGTCTGGTCTGATCAAGTCCCCGTGGGAGCCATGCGCCTTCGCGCCTGTGGTGTGCAAAATATCAACGTTCTACTGGGATTTGTACCCCCCACCCCCCCACGACCTCCTTTTAGGTTTGACATTTGAACATAGAAAATGTGACTGATAAATTCAAAGTAATTTGAAGTAACTGAATTGTGTCCCAAGGTGAAAACAATTCATGAATAGGAAGAAAGGAAATTCAAGGGGAGCAAATGGTTAGCGTAGCCCCCACAGGACCGCAGCCACTTCCGGACACACGTTGGCTAAAAATAACAGCGGGGCGGTGAAGCGCTGCGGCTGTAGACAAATAATTTTTTTAGTATATACAGCACCGCGCAGACGACATCGTGGCTTAGCTCTTTAAAGTACATTTGTGAGTAAATCCGAGACGGGATCAGCATTTCTTCAGTCTTCATCCTTTTTGTGGCATTTTTGTTTAGCGGCGCCCTGTGAGACTTTTCCGATCGAGGTTGGCCGATGGGCGCGCTTCCAGAACATTCTTCGTTTTGTTCCCTATCTTGTCTGTTTTGTATTCAAGGCGCACACCGACCTTGATGAGCGGACTCGTTTATGATCTTTGCTGAGGTCATACGTCTGTCTCCAAGTCAACAACAAATAAATGGATTACAATATGATTTAATGTGGAGGAAGGCGGAGGAGGAGAGACGCAGACAAGTGGCGGTGCTTCTACATTTTGTCCTTAACCCTTTCATGCGCCGCGTAACCCGATCGCATGAGAAGCTTTCCACTGTAGTGACCGCTGTCCGTGAAAGGGTCAAACAATGATTCATCCAAATCAAAGTAAGGACTTCTGCAAAAACATTCAGTTAACTTCATAGCATTTGTAATTTTTTTTTCAATTTTATTGAGTAAAATATATACAGTAGTATAGTTTCACTGTGATGTTGGGGGAATGTATTTAACGATATCTTGGTCTGTACTTTATTGCAGGCGCCGATACAGTAACCCGCCGTCCTCCAATTTACGGGGCCTTAAAGTGGCCAATAAAACAACTCCATAAAGTTACAGAAACATGATAAAAAGATTTTTTTTTTAACCATTTTACAGCATGTAAAATTTCTTCATTTGAAATGGAATTCATTCTGAAACGGCGCCGTACCGCTTGTACTTACACTTCTGACGCGACACGCCATGAAGATTATCGGGACATATGCTAAAAAAAAAATTGACACACGGCGTGTCAGTGTGACGGTGGCGTCGGCTGATATGCGCTTCTGTTCATTGGAAAAGGTTCACAGGCTTGCACTGACCGCTGATCTAATCTAACGACCACTAAGACTCCACACCATGACAAATATGTCACTATGGACAAACTAGCACTAATGGGAAATGTCATTCAAGTGATGGATCCTACCTCAAAATCATATTCCCATTTGCCATTATACTGGGTGAAAGAAGAGAACACACAATAGGAGAAAACAGCTGCTCCAGTGAAATGTGTGCTTAGAAAAAAAAAAAAAAATTGACATTCAGCAGCACCATCTAGTGGTCTTATCCCCAAGCAAGCCAAGCATATTTTCATGTCGCCTCCAGTCATACAGGAAATATGCGATTTCTTACCTCGGCATCATACTGAAACATTTGATTGCCCTTCATGTGGTGACACTTGAGCATGACGACAGGCCCGTTGAGGCGGGACACGTCCAAGCAGAGGTCGTCCGTCCGGATTTCTTTGTCCGCCGTGTATGAGAACACCTGAGATCAAGTCCACAAAAAAAAAAGAAAAGTAGCAGTAGTGTCACTTTCCTTTTTTTTTTTTTTTTTTTGTGTGAAGGTCCTTCAGTTATCAGACCTCACCGAGGGCCTTTCTGTGTGGAATTTGCATTTGTGATTGAATTTTTTTCTTTTGAAACGATTATTCGACCGATTATCCTCCTGACAAATCGAGTGATCAGCTAACATTTGACTTGGCATTCTGAAATGGCAGTGCGGGTATTATTACTGTCCACTTGAGGGGGGCGGGGGGGGGTCACCATCCTCACGTTCCAAACATAATATGTGTGACTTTGAGTGTATGAGAGAATCGGGTTGACTGCTTCACTTGCGAATCGTCAGCTGCAACATTCACGCACGAATGTTTACGACGTGGGTTTTTTTTTTTTGTGACTGTTCACTAAAGCCGTTGAAAGCGCACCGGCAGCTGCGGCTGTCCTCGCCCACTCACCTGGTTCCCGCCCATGCCGTGGCAGTTGAAGAAGCCAACTTTCTCGTTCTCCTTTCTTCCCATGTTGTCGACGCACTGGTTGGTCTCAACATTCCTGATCTGTCCTCGTCAAAACACAGTCACAAAGCGGGTCATTTCCTTAAGCGCACATTTCTGACCACGCAGAAAACTTCTGGCTTCCTTCAGTGATGGAAACAAACCATCGCCTGATTCCATTTCAGAGATGCTAACCTCACATTGTGCGTCATCAAGGCATATAAAGCCATCAGAATTTAAAACAGTTAATCGAACAAGTACAAATCAAACCCCGGGGAATGTTGGAACTCGAGTTTCTTTCAGCCCTCCTTGGATTCCATTTGTCCCAAAGCAATAAAATAAGCGGACGGCATTCACGGCACAGTGAGGGAAGCGTCTTCGCGGCATCGTGGGAGATCACAGAACAAAGAAAAATGAATCAATCTCATACTTCTCCAAGCGAGTAATATCTTCTCGGGATCTGGGAATCCGGGTAGATGTTCTCCAGATACCAGGAAAAGGGTCTGCACTTCAAGGCTCCGCGGAGAGATTTGCGGGAAGAGACGTCGCCGTAGTTCACGCGCATCACCCCTGCAGGCACAATTTGGACTTTGTGATTCAGTGCGAGTCGACGCGGTCCGTCGTGTTCTGCTGGCTCACTTTCAAATTGTTCCAATTCTAAAACAATTGTACCCATGGGAAATAATATCAAGTGAGTTGACTTATTTCCGGCTCAACTTTATTCCTGTCCGGGCCACGTACGACCCTTTTAAAAGAAATGGCGGCCATGATAAATTGTATACGGGGCAATACTGCCAGCTAGTGGCGTTTTACAGGTACTGCGGGTATTATTAACTCACTCCCGTGGACGTTTCCATTCGTCCTCACACTTTAGTCAGGGCAAATTACATTGCAAATCAATTTAGATGAAAGCCATGAGGGCCGCTATTTTTTTTTTTTTTGTCCCCTGGCTTTCACAGTTCCTCTCTTTCTCGATCTGCATCTGTTCCGAGCATCGCATATCACGCATGATGAAGAGCCTCTTTTGATCACAAAATCACCAGCGCGGCGCAGGGACCAAACTCACACACGGTATTCTGACATCATTCCCCCCGAGAGCCGCCACTGGAACCGTTTCGCCATTGAGGGGGCGTGCTGGGCGGAAACATTCATCCATCACGCCAACCCCACCTCGCTATAAGCTCGCCTGCTAAGGTGGAGTAGAAAGGGCACAATTTGCAGTTAAAGATCCGGCCGGTTTAGCGATGATCCCTCAAAGGCTGCCCGGTATCTAAAACGTTTAAGCTGAGATTTCCGGCGGAGCCTAGCTTGGGGCTAATCACGTTATCGAGTGGACAGATGGATGCTCCTCTCGCAGTCTGCACAATTAGATTGTTCTTGTGTGTCTGTCAGCGAATGAGCTTTTTGTGCCAGGCAATTGTTACCTGGTGCGGTTGTTAATAGCAAAGGCCTGACTTCATGTTAAGCCTGTTTCGGGATGAAGCCATCAAATATTTTTCGGATAAAAATAGAGTTTGCATTTTTTTTTTTAAATGCAGTAACATGGATTGATTGGTGATGGTATGATTTTTTTTGCCCGCTTGGGGGTCACCGTGCTTACGTTCCACTTTGCATGTGAGCGTGTATGGCTTTAAAAGGCGGGGCCGGGCCTGGTGAGTGACGTGGGCGTCAGTGAATGAGCGTATAGAGTTGGATGGCTGTTTCTGTGTGTGGAGCGACTGACTCGCTGCAAGTGGTGGCCAGCAAGTTTTGAAGTCATTTGAAAGTTCACCGGCTGCTGTGTCTGTCCTTCACCATTTGCAGGAGAATTACAACACGTTCTCACTTGTGACGTAGGCCATATTAAAATTAGCTAACAATATGCTTTTGTTGCACACCAGTGCAAACTACAGCACCCCACCCCCCAAAAAATCAAGGTTTTAATTAATGTATGATTTAAATAAATCCCTTTCTGACAGGGTGAATGGAAGCAGAGCTTTATGGTCGGCACCTGGTGATATGATGTAGAAGAAATCTTTGAAATCATCCATCCAGACTTCTGCCAGCCGCCTGTTGTTCTTGTTGATGACTTGGCCCGTTCCTCCGGGGAAACTGTAAGGAGTAGCCTTCCGGAAAACATGGCCGACGTGGGAACACGTGACAATCTCCAAGGAACCGCCACACTGCCAGATCTGAACAGACATACCAGACAAGTGCAAGTTCATCAAAGATGTGGCAAAAAAAAAAAAAAAAAAACATTGTCATGTCAAATCTTCCTTTCGTCTCAACAAAACCAGTTTAGGTAAATGGCCTCCCCACACTGAGTTTTGGTTCTGTAAAAGGTCCGCCCCTTTCCCATGACACGGTTGATGATTGGCTGAACCAGCAGATAATGACCAAAGCGAGCCTATTATCGGACTGATCCCTTTTTTTTTTTTACACCAGTGAGTGTATAAAATGACTCATGGTCAGATTTTTTTCCTTGCCATCAAAGATTTTTTTTTTTGTCAAAGCAACTCTGCTTTCCTACTTACTGGCCACGACAAGAGTCAACTGTCACCGTGGAGATGGAGAGGTCTGCGAGAAGCTAATTTCTGCCATTTGGAGCGAAAACTCCATCTCCTCATGATTGAGACGCTCATTAAACACACCCAAGATGTTGCCGATTATCATCAGCCCGGCGCTAGTGGTGCAACTCCCATAAATTCAAAGACGGGTTCTGCCAAGTTGTTTTTTTTTTTTTTCCCCTCCCCACTTAACACAAAGCATTGGAAACGCGGCACAGCGACGAAAAGGCGAGACAAATGGCGTTTTTATGTAGTCTGCTTAAAAGCCAGAAGATTGGCTTTCATTGACATTCGGTGTCAGCAAGTTAAACAAACGGCCTCGGCTATAGCAGGAAAAGACAAGAAAAAAAATCCCACAAATAATTGAAAAAGAGGAATGCCGGGTTAAAAAAAAAAAAAAAAAAAAAAAAGCTTTGTCACTGACCCTGAAAGACATCTCCAGGTTCTCTCCACCCCAGATGTCCATCCCTGGATCGTAGCTTCCTATTTCTTCAAAGTATGTTTTGTCGATGGAGAAGAGACCTCCCGCCATGGTGGGCGTCCTGAAGGAAAGGTTGTTTTGATTTTTTGGGGTGTCATCTAGACTTCCTCTCTGGCTCCGATCATAGCGATTGACTCAAGAGAGAAGTCGGGCAGACGTACGTCAGATGCGTATTTTGCATACCTGACGGGAAGCGTTCTGTCGCCCTTGCGTCGATCCATCTCCCGCTGGGGAACCGGGTACCAGCGGAAATTCAGCTTCCAGTTGAACCCGCCGTAGGTCATGTCCGAGCCCGCCATGTATTCGAAGGTCTCGTCGCTGATGACGTCAATGATGGGGCACACCACGGCTGTCCTGGTTTACAACAACAACGACGACGACGAAGACGACCGAAGCATAAGCGAGCGTGAGGCTTAGTGGCTCGCAACAGTGCCTCGCAGCAAGTTTGAATCCCAGCTTCAGCCTTTTTTTTTTGCGGAGATGACAATTTCCACCTTTCCACGCATGGCTTCTATTCCTCCCGCAGCCCCCTGAAATTTTGGTCTTCAGTTCATTCATGTCTGGCGGGGCTATCGGGAAATCATCCGAAGTACAATGTCGATGGAGGATCATCCTCCTGACCCCCGATTCTCGATTTGTCAGATACTGTCGGAAACGACTTTTATCTGAATGGTCCACAAGCTTAGCTTTGACCTTCTGCCAAAGGTGAGAAATTTGCTCAGTGCGAGTTAGACCTGAAGATGGAAAACTACTAAGAGGTGCCTCAACTCATGATGCGGCACAAGCAAATCGTTGTCAGGCTATCTTTTGATGAATATTACTTGTGCGGAATTTTCAGGAAGTCTAAAGAGACTAAACCAAAAGGCTCGACCACAATGACTTGTGTCGGTGTGCATCCGGAGGCTGAGGTAGCATTTTATCCTCAACTCGTAACTGAAGGGAATTATTCTTTTTTTCCAAACTAGGAACTGAAAAGGCAGCGCATTGATCATAACGTCGTATTGTTTGAATCAATCTTCGATGCTGCAAAAGTCAACATGAGTCCCACCTGTCCTCTTTGATGCGGGCCAGCAAGGGTTCCAGCCATCCCACCGTGCACTCACAGTGGGCATCCAGGAAGGTGATGACCTGCCCTTTGGTGGCAGCCGCCCCTCTCAATCTGGCTCGGATGAGACCCGAACGCTCCTCCATCCTCAGGATCTTCACCGGCACTTCAAGGGTCCGAGCGTAGTCCTCCAACTTTTTCCCTAAGAAGTCTGGAACGCAACAAGAAGCTTGAAGAAACCAAAAACTCCTCCTTCCTTCGCTTTGGATTACTCTGGTCAACTTATTAAGACTGTAGGTTTGCAAGACCTCAACAAAGATGTTCTTCAGACGTTCGTAAACAAAAAAAAAAAAAAAAGGTTTTGTGTCATTGACCAACCTCGCTCACTGAAGTCGTCCACCAGCACAATTTCCACAACTAAGTGTCTGGGAGAGCGATTGATGACGCTGCGGACCGTCCGCAGCAACGTGCTCCATGCCTCGTTGTGGAATACGATGACGATGCTGGTGTTGGGCAGGTGGTCCGGGTACACCTTGGTCTTGCAGCTGGCGGGCCATCCCATCAAAAGATTTGAACGTTGATACCATGAAACATTAATTGTAACTATGTCCGCTCTGTCAGTTGCGCTTCAACTTGGAAGGTACGCTCAGTTATGGTTAAGTTCCGTTTTAAGAATCGGAGAAGCGATTCTTTTTCAACCGATCATTTGTTGCAGTCGCTCGGTCTAACTTGCAGACCGGAATAAATCCGATGCGTTCACAGAACGGTGTCCGTCTTGCGCCACTCGACGTTGCCAAACCGATGTCACGGAAAGAAAGTGGAAAAAGCAAAACCGGGCGTTGACGTCGACACGTCCTCGGCTGGCTGCGATGGATGTCCGCCAGCGCTGACGGCTGAGGTCGAACGCGCAATGACGCCGAACGGGACGACGATGCGGAATACATTATGGGTCTGGGCAGTCAGGAGGGGAGTGGGAGTTGGGGGAGGCATCGGGGAGGGTGAAAGAAGTCATCAGTCGAGCAGCCGGCATTTCTACTTTGGTGCCGTCTAGTCGGAGTGACAAGAATGAGTGACACAACTAGGCCAGGAGGTTGCCCTCCAGCAGCGAAACCGTGATTGCCATTCAGACTCAGCGATTCAGAAAATCCCGCCGCTGCGTTTGGCACGCGGCTGCCGAAGGAATGACGAGCTCTTGCAATATTTATACTGAGGGAAGGAGAGCTGTCTTTTCCACTTTGATGACATTTGAAACGGGTGACGTGTCAGCGATTCAAGTTCTCGCGCACAGACTGTGCGGATTGTTCAAAACCAAAGTGCTGAGGTGATTCGGATTATTTTAACGCGCAATAAACCCACATCTGACCTGAATAAAGGGAGGGGACCAATTGCTCTTCTGAGATATTCAGATACGTTTTGTTTGCCAACGGGCATAGCGTCCAGCAAAACAAAGGACACGGACGGCCTCCTTCCAGATACTTTGAACCAACTGTCAAGCAATCCATCAAGGCTCTCCCTTTACAGATTAGGGCGAGGAGCTGCGTCGTCCATTTTTTAGGGGGGGGGGGGGTAGTCAGAACCTTGAGGAGCTAACTGAGATGACCCGGGCATTCGTTTAAGATGCTCCCTGGTGAGCTGTTGCGGTCACGTCCAACTCGGAGGAGAGCGTTGGGCAGACGTACGGCTTCGCGCAGCTGACCTGGTAACGCCTCAGTGGCCACCCTTGCGAAAACTCGAAGCACGAGGAAATCCGGGGTCCCTTCGGTCGATGGCCCCGCGATTGCGATCGAGCCAAAGTACATAGATAGACGGACAACGGAACGTGATCTGATTTACTTTAAGACGCGCTCTTAACGCCATACTTCCTCTACCCGTTATTCATCGATGACAAGGCAATAAATACGCCACGCACCCATCCAAGCGCACATCCGGCAAGCTCCTGTTGAGTGCAATCATATCGCTGGCCATCAGGTTGAACTGGTTGATCTTAAAGAGTTCCTTCATCTTCTCGTGCTCCTCTTTGGGGATGTTCACAGACTTGCCCATCTCGCCGGGGCCCTCGTGGCTACGGGAGATGGCGGCTGAAAACGCAAACGGGCATGTTAACAAGCTGACGCGTTTTCATCGGCCTCCGCGTCCAAATGGGCCAGCGCCACCGGACGAGACCCAAAACAAATGCTCGGGGCGGGACGGCTATAGGGCAATGTTAGATGTTAGCAATATGAGGTGTCATACCAAGTTGAGAAATGAGGGGTTTTGTACTCAGGCAACATCACGGTTTCCTTTTTTTAATTTCCTGAAATGGAAGATGCGAGGACTTCCACTCGACAGCAGTGATGCGGAAAATAGGATGACATGAATGAAAAACTGGGTTAAGAATGAAAGCTCGACTCGTCGCTAAATATGAAAATTGTTTGTTGCGGTCTGAAAAGGCGCAATCGTAGCGCGCGTAAGCCGCTTCCCCGTCGCGAGACAAACAACCACCCGCGCTCACACTCACACCTCGGGACAATTTTGAGTGTTCGATCAGCCTGCCGTGCATGTTTTTGGAACGTGGGAGGAAACCGGAGTACCCGGAGAAAACCCACGCAGGCCCGGGATCGAACCCACAACCTCTGTACTGTGAGGTCGACGTGCGAACCACTGGCCCACCGGGCCGCCCTCATTTTGACATTTGCACCAATTTAGAAGAGCACATCGCGTGAAAGGAAAAAGCATCCCCGACGGCCCCTCGCAGGCCGCTTTGTTGCCCGCAGTTCCTCGCGCGGCCAAATCGCTGCGAAGCATTAGACGAGCGCCATTAGCCCAATGTAAATAACTCCCGCGGATTTATGACGACACTCCGGGCTCTCTCGAATAATCTCTTGGAGCAGAGGCGGTGTTTGCGATGAAAGGGGGGGCACGCAGCTCACATTAGCTTCATGGCCGCGGGGTTAAGAGGATTCTCTTCAACCCCCTGCAAATGGAAATGCGCGGGTGTCAGCCGATTGTTAACCTCAAGTGATTTCCTTGATGAACATCACCGCGTGGCTACAAATCTCAATTTGAAGGATGCGATTTGAGAGCCGACAGTCCGCTGGCAAACATTTGTGGGCGTGTCTGCTGAATGCGCTGGAATCGCGCGCCGGTCAACAGGCGACTATCAATGAAACACAACAGCTATGACCTGGATAAATGGATCCTACTTCGTCTGGCATCGTTCTTTTGCTTACACATCAGTACAGATTTGAGGTGACAATATGCTGTATATGGAATCTGCTTCAGACTGCGGCGGACACGACGACGCGCTCAAAAGTAGCCACACCGGCGCATGCTTGACTGTGATGTTTGAATTTCTGCACTTCCACCTTCTCTCACTGACAACGAGGCACTCTAAAATGGCCATATTGTTATAGTATATCCAGTCATCCAATTTTCTGATCCGCTTCATCCTCACAAGGGTCGCTGGGCGTGCTCCGGCGGAGCCTATCGCAGCTGTCTCCGGGCAGTAGGCAGGGGGACACCCTGAACCGGTTGCCGGCCAATTGCAGGGCACGCATCGACGAACAACCATTCATTCGTGCTCACACTCACACCGAGGGACAATTTGGAGTGTTCATTCAGCCTGCCTTGCATGTTTTTTTGGAACGTGGGAGGAAATTAGAGTACCCGGAAAAAACCCACGCAGGCATGGGGAGAACAGGCAATGTCCACACAGGAAGGCTGAAGCCGGAATCGAACCTCTGCGCTGTGAGGCCGACGCGCTAACCGCTGGCCCCACCGGGCCGACCTGCTCCAGTATCATATTTTATGATGTGCTTCAAGTTTTCTGCACTGCCCTTTTCTCTTTATCATCTACTGATGGCGCCCAATTCTCCTGTTTCCATTCGTGCCATGCAGAAAAAAAAAAGTCTCTGCATGGCACGAGCGTGAATATAAAAGCAAGGACAATAACTATGACTGAAAATGATCATACCGAATAAATTGAGATTACAAATCACATATTTAACCTTCGTTATTTTGTTGTGTTACAGTTCAAATCGCATTTACGTGAATTGACTTTAGATTCGCGTTAAGGTACTGTATGTAGAGTTATGCGTATTTATTGTTCATGCAGCATTCCCGCATGTCATATCAAACGGCAGTTTTCCGCTTCTTTGCATCTTGCTGATCCGCATTTCACTGTCTTGGCTAAAGTCGAATCAAGATCTACCTTGGGTGGAGCCGGGCTCTTCCTGTAATGAGCTGTCATTCAAATGTACTTTTATTCACATTACAGTGCACTTTATTTTTTGTTTTTTAACCACTTCTTACTCAACTTCAGCAATACACGTTTTTATGTCCTCTTTACGCAGTCTACGTTAGGACGGCAACCGGCGCGAGACGATAAATGATACTTCGGTACGCGCTGTCGACTTTCCAAGCAAAACAAGTTGATGTTCGCAGACATTTGGATCGTCATTAGTGTCACTTGCCGGCAGCTCTGCCTCAGTCTAACCTTAAAAGCAGCTTAGAAAATCAGCTTAGCGGAGGGCATGTGAGGGAAATGAACTGCTTAAGAGGACCAAAACACAAAGAAAGAGGGTCGACCTCACCCAGACGCACATGGTTCAACTCCGGCTCCGGTCTTCCTTTGCATGTTCTCCCCCTGTGCCTGCGTGGGTTTTCTCCGGGTACTCCGGTTTCCTCCCACATTCCAAAAAAAAATGCATGGCAGGCTGATTGAATGCTCGAAATTGTCCCGAGGTGCGAGTGTGAGCGTGGATGGTTGTTTGTCTTTGCGTGTCCTGCGATTAGGTGGCAACCGGTTCAGGGTGTCCCCCGCCTATTGCCCAAAGACAGCTGCGATAGGCTCCGGTGTGCCCACGACCCTCCTGAGGAAAAACGAATTATCAAATGGATGGACGGATGAATATTTGAGTAGTTGTTGAGAGTAGGTGGCTGTACAAGGACTTGACTTGGATCTTGCTGCAGACAAAGTATGGAATTAGCCACTGGGTTTAGCATACGTAGCAGTTTGCTATCCGAGACATGCCGAGATGCCTCTCAGCAGCGATTTGGGACTCATCTGGGATTGTCCTTATAGAGTCGTGGATTATATTCCATCATTTTAAAACATTTGGAACCCACAATACCATTTCCCATCACAACGTCGTGTTCTTAAAGTTGCACTCGACACAAAAATGTTTTTTTTTTTTCAGCAGCGATTTGGGACTCATCTGGGATTGTCCTTATAGAGTCGTGGATTATATTCCATCATTTGAAAACATTTGGAACCCACAATACCATTTCCCATCACAACGTCCTGTTCTTAAAGTTGCACTCGACACAAAAATGTGTTTTTTTTTTTTTGCAATCAAATATTTTGTGTGGCCTCTGAACTCTCTTTGCAAGCGTCACCGTTCCACCTGTTGTCCAGGTTCGAACGCAACGTGAGCCCCTTGAACACTTCACATACATCCCCCACACCCCCACATCAAGCCTGTTTTGAAAGTGTGGACTCACCGCGGAGGGCGGGAAGCAGCGAGCGGTCCTTCCTGTCGTCACATTTGTTACATTCGCTGAAATAGAGCAACAAGAAGACGTCCACCAGCACCCAGACCAAAGAAGTGGTCAAGACCACCTTGCAGTAGGCAAAGCGGCGCATCAAATCGTCTGCTCGAGAGAGCTCAGCTGTTGGGGGGATCTGAAGATGGCAGGAGGACTTTGGAAGGAGACCGGACAGCTTTGAAAAGCCGGCATCATGCTACGGGAAAGACACAAAACCAGTCAGAATGTTTGACCGTTTCAAATTTTAGACTTTTCCCAATATTTTAACGAATTATTCTCTCAAGGGATTTTTTTTTTAAAGTAATGTGACAGATTTTATTACGGCAAGTTCCTACTTCATGTACTTTGTCCCATTTTGTGACTTTGATTTGGATTCTCGGTGACTTGTGTCATGCATTCAAGACGCATCCATTGGTGTTCCGCTTCAACTTGGATGACCGTTGGAGTTAAATGTTACTCAAACATCGCCTTAAAAAGATTTTTGAACCCTGGAACAAACTATTCCAAATATTAACTGTTACAAAGGAGACTGGTGCAACTTGGAGGTAACAATGTAATTCCTGTGGGGTGCAGAATTGTTTTTTTTTTTGTTTTTTTTGTCGATGTTCCTGAAAAGAAGTCCATCAGAGGAGCCGACCCCTCCAGTGTCCTCGTTTCGCACCCTTCTCATTCCGAAGCCATACGTTTGAATCTTTTGATCACAGTTTCACTGATGTTTCAATCTCACGCCATCTGCTCGACGTGTTGATGAATACCAAACTACGCTGACAACTCGGGTGCAAACGAGAAGGGGGAGAAAAAAATAAAAGGTACGGCTCTCAGCATGATAAAGTGCAGTTTTGCAGGCCGATAATAAGTGCAATACGAAATAATTCAATTATAAGAATAAAGACCAAGCTAAATATCAGAAACCATTTTTTTTTGTTACCGTTCTGTGGATCTCACCAAGAGATATGATTTTGCGTAGCATCACTGAACAAGTTTCCATATTCTTCGTCATTCTTTTCAGGGTGAAGCTAATACAAGAGTAAGAATGCAATAGAAAATGGATCGATGGACTCTAATTGGACTGGCGTG